TCGCGAAAAATCACATCATAGCGGTGGAGAGTGCACGTCCACTCCGTCAGATTCCGTACCGAGTTTCGACGTGAGAACGTGAGGCCGTAAAAATACAAATCGACGAAATCCTACGCGATGACACCATCGAGCCATCCGAGAGTCTGGGAGTTACCCGCGTGGTGTTAGTGAAGAATAAGGATGGAACCCTTCGTCTCTGTGTCGATTATTTCCCCATGAACAAAATCACAGAAAATGACGCGTATCCTCTCCCACGTATAGACGAGGCACACGATCGGCTCCAGAACGTGAAGTACTCTTCGTCGATGGACATCCTGGGGCCATTATTAACGTCGACTTGCGGAGATAAGTTAATCGTCATAGCTACTGGGCGCCTCACCCGCTATGCCAAAAAAGAGTGGGGGGAGAGATGAACAACAAGAAAGAAGGCAGGGAGGTTAACCAGGCACATGCCCGGTTTGCTACCCTACGCTGTGGAAATGGGAAGGGGGGCATAAAGATGAGAGAGAGAGAGAGAGACGAAAGAGAAGAGAAAGAGAGAAATAAAGAAATATGATTGTCATACAATGGGCTGACGCGTATGCGGCGGTAGCACTACACAAAAGTTAAAGGTGGTCACGTAGGCCTGTAGTCCTCAAAAAGCACAAGACAGCCTTGACTGCTTTTTGAGCCGACGAAAGGTGAGAACGGTGTTCCAGTAGCATCTGCAAGAGAGCAGCCGATCGTCCAATTGTCGCAATACGTCCGAAAGCTTCTGTCTTTCAGAGGCAAATCGACGGCTATGGTATATCAGATGGTCGATGTCTTCTTTGGCACAGAAGACGTCGCATTTCGCATTGTCGGTCTATCCGATGAGGGTTGTATATGCTTTTGTGAAGGCAACCCACAACCAAAGGCGACAAAGAAGCGAAGCTTCCCGCTGACGAAGTCCGGATGGAGGTTGAAGTTCCAGTCGACGGTTTATTTGGTATAGACTCGTATGTATTATGCTTGGGGTGCTCCACTCCAGCAGACACAGACTACGTGCCAGGTGACGTTGCTTTTGCAGCGTCAGTCCTTGACAAAGGAAACGGAAAGGTGTGCTCTTCTTGGTGCGATGTGCGAGCCGCGTTGTCTGCGGAATCATTGCCATTTATCCCATAATGGCCAGGTAGCCACTGAAATTTGACCTCGTGTCCTGTATCTGTGACGTGGTGAAGAAGCTTGGCAACCTCGTCAGTCAACTGTTCATGGCAACCTCGTCGAAGGACTGACTGCATGCTCTGTAGGGCCAGTTTAGAGTAGGAAAACACAACCCATTTACTCGGTCTCTGGGATTTGTAGTACTCTAGGGCGCCGCGCAAAGCCGGAAGTTCTGCCACCGTAGACGTAGTGACGTGTGGCAGCTTGATTCGCAGAGTGATTCCTCTAACTGGAATCACCACCGCACCGCCAGAACCAGACGCTGTGGTTGAACCATCGGTGTATATGTGCACGTGGTTATTGTACATTTTGTGCAGTAGGTACAAGCTCGATTGTTTTAGGGCTGATGAAGGCATATATGATTTTTTTCTGTACTCCTGGAATTGAAAGACGTACTTGCGGAAGTGTCAGGCACCACGGAGAATACACCAGTTTCTCAGCAGGCGTAAAACCTGACGTAAACGACGCACGATTCGCACAGACAATTGCATGAAATTTTGTGCGGGGCCTCTCAGAAGTGAGGGTTGCCAAGTGGTGGGAAGGATTGCTAGATTGTTGCCTTAGGTTTGACGCATCGTTTCAATGGTGATGTGCGTAATGATAGAGTAGTCCTGTGCAATGGCAATTCTTTCAGTCGTCGATGCGCAGCGTGGTAAACCAAGGAATATCCTAAGCGCCTGGGCTTGAATATTTTGGATTGTGCACAGGTTCATTTTACCAAAACAAGAGCCTTTCCCAAAAGCAGTGTGGCTGAGGTAGCCAAGTTCTTCGTTGAGAACATCTTCCTTCGACATGGCGCCCCAGAGGTTCTCATCAACGACAAAGGTAAGGCGTTTACTGCAGACCTGGCTCAGGCAGTCATGAGATACAGCCAGAAAAGCTACCACTGTACAACCATGCGCCGCCCACAAATCAATGGGCTGACCGAGCGTCTAAGGCCATCGCCGACATGCTGGTCATGTACGTCAACGTCGAACACAGGACGTGGGTCGCCATCCTTCCGTACGGGACCTTCGCATACAGCACGGCCATGCTGTAGACGACGCAGATGACGCCCCACAAGTTTGAATATGAAAGACACCCGGCAGCGACCCTCGACGCCGTGCTTCCAAACCTAACTGACGAAGTCAACTTGGAGGTCATCATCTACCAATAGTGTGCTGAAGAAGCTCGACAACTCGCCTGTTTACGCATCGAGGATCAGTAGGCGACCAGAACGCAACATGGGGGCGGTGACTCTTCGCTTTGGCACGGCCCTCCTGGACAGCCTCCAGTTGAGTGACGTCCGAACTTCGACGAGCTCCGCCCACTTCATCTTATTGTGTAAACGGGAGCACAGCCAGGGCATATATGATAAAGAGATCAGGTCTCTGCATTTAGTGCAGGACTGTCGAAAGAAAGAATCAATGCAATTAATTGCCGTGGTGGTAAAATATGCTCGCGTCGGCAACAACCTGAGCGTGCCCGACTGATCGCTACTAAACTTGGAACTAGGAGGAGTGAAGGTCCTCCTTCTTAGTCAGTGAGGGCACGTGCGAGCCAGAGCTGCATATTGCATGTGTTAGTCAAGATTGGAAATAGCGAGATGACCCTTTTAATGACGATAGTCTTTCTTGGGAACCTTCAACGCAAAAAATTTGATCTGTCTGTCTGTGCGTTTGTCTGTCCATTCTTAACGACACCGGGCACTTGAAACGGCCGACCCCATCCGCAGTTCCCACCAACGTTGCTCAAGGTTTAGCTTTCATGCTTGTGCAATTCTCAATTAAAAAGCAATTATTGCGCATGTGTGGGGCACCATAACAACACGTATATATTCTGCATGTGCGTCTTTTAGTAGAAAAGGCATATACAAGTGATTTTAGGAGCGTAGCGCTTATTACACTGCGCAAACCATGCAATGGTTGGACGAAAAGGCGAGTGTTTCCAACGCTTTGCTAAGAAGAGACGGTGGTGGCACCTACCCGTCACCTTGCGTTCTACACCTTATCACCTCTGAGACGGGCGCGCACACCAGTCTCCGAGCCACGTGCTTCGTTTTCCAAGAAAACTGCCAGATGGCGCTCATGTCTCACGTGTGACGTGACGATGCGCTCGTTCATCTCCACTCTAACGCAGTGCCTCTAGAATACCAATCACCGATTTTCATGCGCAGAACATCAAATAAATGTTTTGTTCACACTCTCTCTTCACACGCAAGACTATCGTCTTTCGACGACATTTGCAGAATAACATGCAGATACGGGGCCAATTTTTTTCATACGAAGTATGGTAACGAGAAATTGCTTGAGAGAAGGATGTGCAGGAGCTTTTTTTTACAATGCTTGAAGATTTATTACCGCTTCTGCATGTCAGACACTAAATATGGGCTAACGTTTTCGTTGATTTAAGTGGACTACTGTGATATGGAGACTCTGAAGCTTGTTCGAATGTGTACTGCTGAGTGGACTCCCAAATAAGGGTGATATAGGCTCTTTTGTGTGTGAACTTAAGTCCTGTAGGCAAGAAGTCTTGTAGGCAAGAAAAGCGACTCTTTTCTTCCCTTTGAACTGTAAACTTGATGGTGCTTTATTCGTGGAATAGGTGGTGGTGCGCCGGCTTCTGTTCGGGGCGCCTGCGGCCGGATTTAGAGATCATGCCCTGTCGTGGCACAAGAAGAACGAAGGGCAACGCGTTTGTTTTCGATGCCGAAAACATATACTCGGGGCACGTTGGGGCGTACAGAAGATTGTTCCCCACTCGTTTCTGTGCACTCTTACTGTTGTGTGTTTACGTTCTATCGGAATCTTTGCGTGTTTGCATGACAGAATGGCCGCTAAGCACATATAATTTAAAACATACACAGGCTGACACTGTCAGTAGGAACTTCACGCCTAAGTTGAATTTTATAGCGGTTCTCATTAGCGAGTGTTTATAATCATAAATGATGTAATCAGTATAGCCGCACTTGTTATATACAACAAAATTTATAATTTCCGAAAGAGAACAGAGACAAAACTTTCTTACAGTCCTACTATGAGAAAAAGGTCTTTTTACAATATTGGAATGTGCAATTCGATACCACTCTACCTGCTCATCGTGTCAGTCAAAACTGAGAATGAATGCTTTAAGCTTTTCGCCGCTTATGATTGCAATGAGACAAAACGAAGTCGCAGCTACGATGATTGAAGATTGCGTGCGTTCATGAACGTACAAAGCTGACTGCACGGGAGGCTATAAGCGTGTTGCTACAGCGTCACACATAGTTTTATTAGACAAAAGCATAATCCGACAATAAACAAATGGGCAAAGCATTCATTGACCACTTTTTCGGCGGCCAATTTTACAGCGATAGATGTTACGAGATCACAACATGGGTCACATGCGCGCTGTAGATCTCCGCTGCCTTTGGTACCACATCAAATAAAAAAAACACCTAACTAAATAAAAATACCAAATATACAGAGGGATTTGAACCCGAGTTCTCTGCGTGCCAGCCTAGCACTGCAATCCTGGCACAAAAGATTCGCAGGTTTGGCCAGAACGGCAACAATTTGAGTGTCTCGTTGTTTTCCTCGGATCGCTTTCTTGACGTGCCTCGCTGTGCAGAAGGCGCGGGTTAAGCCAACCGTGCACTTGGCATAGTTTTTTTTTTGTTGCTTTGTTTTTCTGTTTACCTCGTTACGTGTCTCCAAAAAAAACTGGTATCCTTTCGAAATGCGCCGATATATCCAATGAGTGACCTTTAGTTCGTCACCGTGCCGTGGTTGGTTCGCTTTAGCGGGTGGCCGACTATATAAATGCTCCGGATCGCTTTTCGAGCATCAGTGCTCCCCAAAGCAACGCCGGCAGCAGGCCGATATGAAGACCATTGTGAGTAGTCCGGCGCTGGGTCTGCCTACGCTACATAGATACATGCGGAAACACTCAACGTAGTCTGCTTTCGTCTTTTTTTGTTTGTTGGATTTGTCGATTATTGTCGGTAGTTTTCCATCGTGATCTGTTTGGATGGTAAAGTGCATTTTGCGCTACGATGATGGACATAATTATTACACTTCAAAAAGAAATCTTCGAAGTACTGTTCGGCTACGTAGTCCGGAACGTGGGAAAAGGAAGATGAGGGACGCCATTTGTTGTGAGGCTACGAATAATGCAATGAATTAGCGCTTAAGTGAACCGTTCATACTGGTGGCCCGCGTTATGCGCAACTACTTTGATTAAACGCGTGTGCTGTTTTCTTGTATCGAATACTCGGTCAGAAGGCAAATGCTTTTATGAGTACATACTGAAGACGTAGTCTTGTGAAGAGCAATAACTGTTTTGGTTACCGGAGACGAAATCAGTGTGCTGGAAACTAAAATTCACTGCAAATGCATATACAACGCGCACTCAGATGAGTGGCCAAATCACTTCGTAAATGAAACCTTCTGGAAAGTCATGTCATGCATCAATTCTATGTATCAGTGAACTTCGTATGAATGCACTAGTTTCAACGATGCATCGGCATCAACACTCACTCGGCTACAGTTATTAGTTTTCAATGGCTAAGTCTATGTGTGATCAGAGCTTCAATAAGACTTCTGGCATTCAAAAAAAAAAAAAGGAACGGGAGCACCAGGAAAACGACTGAGTGAGCCTCAAGAATATGTGCAAAGCAGAGTGTAGTAGTGTTAACATGCTTATTACGTCACTCGAAGTCGGAAGTAACTCAATAGCAGTTAGCAACAAAATTTGGGCCTTAGCTTTGGAGCAAGACAACGTTAAAGCCGTTGCCACTTGAGACTCGCGCTTGTTGCCATCACCATTTGCGCAGCTGTGCGCCCTCGTCGTCCTGGTCGTGCTGGCTGCTGCCAACGCTGGCTACTATGGCTACGGCCACGGCTACGGTCATGGATACGGCCACGGAGGATACAGCCACGCCATCACTCACCACTATGACAACCAAAGAGCACACTACGGATACGGTGGATACGGCCACGGCTATGGTGGATACGGCGGCTATGGCGGCTATGGCGGCTATGGTGGCTACGGCCACGGCTACTAAGAATAGGCAACTGAACATCTGACCGAAAATCTGAACAACGGGTAAAATGGGCGAGCGCAATAAACAAGTGGTCTTCACGAACTCATGCTTGTTTTTTTTTTCGTTCGGGATTATGCATTCCAAGAAAAGTGATATCAATTTAATTAACTTATGTTATGTTTGTGTTAATTAGATTATGATCAAGAAAATGATCTTTGGCATAGAATTTTATACAAATTATCGTTGTGTGGGTGAATCGGATCAAATATATTTCTGACAAAACATACCAGAGATAACGCAGGACAAGTGCAGTTCCATCGCTTGTCCACTATTTTCTCTGATGTGTTTTGTTGTGCGCTGCGCAAGAGTAGCAAAATTTACATTCAGGCGTAAAAATGATGTCGCCACGCTTATAAGTTCATTTTGTTGAAAGGTTTGGATCAACACGTTTTCGAAAGCCGTTTTTTATTCGACACTGCTGCAAAGCATTTCCATAAATGTTTACGTGATTGTGAATTCCCATAAAAGTTTCTATACGAGTTCTTTTGTGCTAGGCCGCATTCGCTGAAAAAAATACGAATCACTTTCATCCTCATAGCTTGCTCCTATAATGGCTGCCAACTACACATCGATGAGCAAAATACGTAATCAGGTTAGTTGATCAATCCTTGCAGGTTTACCGTACAAAATTTCGATCATATGAATTGCGCTTACTTAACATGCAAATATTGATCGTTTAAAGAACCTTGGCGTTTCTCAGCGTTCTTCAAATGTTACTTCTAGCTCTTTCCTGCTTTGGAAAAGAGGGATACTGATGTCGTGGGTCACCAGAAATCTTCTTCGGGAGGGCGGGGCTTCAATCATATTTAATGTATGTTCGCGCGTGTGTTTGTATCTGTGCATGTATTTATACACAAACAAAATAGAGAAATTTTTGAAAGTTGTAACCCCCCCCCCCCCCCGCCCATTGGCTACGGCCTTATAGTGGTCAAGCTTTATAGAAGGTCACGTTGCAAATAATAAAAAAATACTGCTCGCTCAAAGAAGGTTGCAATATGAACTCACAACTGAACACAACATACCAGTTGTAACCAATAGGCATTGTACATAACTGTACACCGTTTTGTTGCTCGTTTACATGCGCGAGTGGTCAATGTCACGGATGATTTACAATAACACCGAATGACCCCGCTTCTTCACCCAATCATCATCATTCACTTCGTGGAGATATGATGATTTTTTCAGGTAGTGCTGACAGCGCGAACATAAAGACAGGACGACGAAGGAAAACATACGGCAACGTGAGCGCTCACTAACACCTGATTATTTTCTGCATTTGCCACATACATGGACATCAGGCAGAAACAGGAAGGAAAAGGAGAATAGGCAGACTTATTTGCTGAACAGCTCATCCATGTGCTGATCGCCAACGATCAAGATATTTGTTTGATAATGCCACGGGTCTTTTTTTGTCCCACGCTTTACGTTAGCGCTGTTCGTACCATCAGGATTCACATATTTACCCCAAGCTTTTAAGGCACCGTGCACCTTTTAGAAGAGGAATACGAAGAGAAAAGTGCCAGCATGAGGCATTCGAAAAATCCACTTTAAGGCAAAGCAAATGCACTTGCTCGTTGAGGCCATTTGTCCCCGATGCACAGCCAGGCTATGGCTATCTTGTTTTAGAAAAGCCCAACCCCAGCTTCTTTTTTTGTCATGTATGCGATAGCTGTGACGAAAACCAGTGGTGGTGGATGACATCGCCACTAAAATCAGCTCTTGTTGTAAGCTCACACTATCTTACGTTCTAAAGAACGACTATGTTGACCCATTTTCCTAGAATCGTTCAGCATAATGCTGCATGACATTGCCACATTTCCGTCAGCATTCTGAAATCACAAGACTTCAGAGGCGTCATTGAAGGCACTCAGCACCTGGTGGTCAACCGCGATATTTGTGTCTCAAGAGGAACCGCCGAGCTGTGGAGAGGCAGCGCAACAGTTATGCTCACAAATTTTAGCAATGAGTACAAACACGTGAACAAAAGCATGACGTTTACATACGTTGGCGAATTTATGAAAACCACCAGTACTATCGCTCTCACTAATTCTGTGGAACCTGCTCCGACAAACCAAGCCCCTCCCCCAGCTTTGACGCCAATCCGAGTCTTAGGAAACAAGAGTAAAAACCGCTCAGGGCCCTGGTATTGAATTACAAGGATTCCTTTTCGTCGTCGTCAAAATTGCGGGAGACCGCAGTCGCGAAAAATCAAATCATAGCGATGGAGAAAGCGCGACCACTCCGTCAGAGTCCGTACTGAGTTTCGACGTGAGAACGTGAGGCCGTAAAAAGAGAAGTCGACGAAATCCTACGCGATGACTCCACCCAGCCGTCCGAGAGTCCGTGGGCGACCCCCGTGGTGGTATTGAAGAAGAAGGATGGAACCCTACGTCTCGGCGTCGATTAATTTCGCATGAACACATAAAAGGACGTGTATCTTCTCCCACGTATAGACGAGGCACACAATCGGCTCCACAACGTGAAGTACTCTTCGTCGATGGACCTCCTGGGGTCATTACTAGCGCCGACTTGCAAAGAAAAGGTAATCATCATAGCTACTGAGTGCCTCACCCGCTACGCTAAAACAAGAGCCTTTCCCAAAGGCAGTGCGGCTGAGGTAGCCAAGTTCTTCGTTGAGAACATGGTCCTTCGAGATGGCACCCCAGAGGTTCTCATCACCGACAGAAGTAAGGCGTTTACTGCAGACTTGGCTCAGGCAGTCATGAGATACAGTCGGAGAAGCCACCGCCGTACAACCACGCGCCACCCACAAATCAATGGGTTGACCGACCGTCTAAGACCATCGCCGACATGCTGGTCATGTGCGTCGACGTCGAACACAAGACGTGGCTTGCCATCCTTCTGTACGGGACCTTCGCATGCAGCACGGTCGTGCAGGAGACGACGCAGATGACGCCCTACAAGGGGAGAAGAAGAAGTGAATAGAAGAAGCCCGTAGCTTCATTTCGCTCTCTTAATTCAGTTATTATATTGAGTTCGGGATCTTTTTATGGTGTGTGCGGTGGGTGGACTGTCTCCAGAGTGGCCGCTAAACATCGGTGAGTCAGAGTTTCACTACGCATCGCGATCAGAATTGCCCCTTAGCGGGCCCGTGCCTCATACCTGGCAAAGCCCGGGTATGGAGGACAACGAGATGCCGCTAGCGCCAAGCAGAGCACCACTTATCCATCCCGTTCGCCTTCAAGTTGCTGCAGGCTCAGCTTCGATATCAACGTCCCATCCAGAGAACAGCGAGGCCTCGCAGTGTAAGAAGAGGCGTACAGAGGAGGAAGAAGAGGTTGACAACGATGACGCCACATCGACGTACTCCCTTAATGACATGACACAGATGAATACAGAAGCACCCAAGGAAGACGAAGGAGCTTACACGGTGGTCACCCATCACAAGAACCGAGCTACGGGGATACCGGTGGTGTTCAGACCAATCGCTGCCGAGGACTCCTTCTGGAAGATGAATCCAAATCGCATGGCATCTGAGATAATCTCTGCTATCAATGAGAAAGTGACATCATCAAAAATCAACAGAGACGGAAGTTTTTGTGTTGGAGTACGGTCTTTGTACTCGGCAAACAAGTTGCTGCTGATCAAGAGTCTGGCTGGATTGCCTGTACATGTGATGATACCTCGGTCTTACATGAAGACCCTAGCAAAGATAAGAGATGTTGCACTTGAATACAGTGATTATGACCTACTGGAATATCTTGAAGATGCTGGAGTAATCTCAGTCACACGACAAAAGAGATGGGCAAGAAATGAAGATGGAAGGGCCACAATGCAACCCATACGTAATGTAATACTCCAGTTTAGACATGACATGCCATTGCCAAAAAGAGTTCCCTCGGCTTTACGGTTCACACATTCAGCCGGCGGTAAGGTGTTACAACTGCCAGAGATATGGGCATAAGGCTAAGACTTGCAGGGGAACCAAAAATTGCAAGGTATTTGCGGGCACACATGATTACAAAGAATGCACCTCGAAGCGTCAATCTAAGTGTGCCAACTGTGCTGGACCACATCCGGCGTCGTTTGCAGGCTGCTCTCGAAACCGTTTGGCATCAGCTGCACAAAGAGAGAGAATTGTAAAAGGGTACCATAAGATACAAAGAGGTCCGGCAACCAATGCGGATATAGTCGAAGATGTTCTTGCGGCACAAAGAAACGCAAAACAGTGGCGCCACGACTCTTACGCGGAAGTATTGAAGCGCTCAGCACCAAAACATTGCGTTGGCAAAGAAGTCCGGGCCCAGGAACATGCTGAAGTGGCACTTTCTGCTGGGCCAGACACAGCCATGGAGCCACTGACTACCAAAGGGAAGGGTCACAGCAGCTAGCTTGCTGAGGAAAAATTCTTCAAGAAATGCGATCTAGGCGGAGACAGCCGGAAACGAGCAAGTCATTTTCCAATAATCTTTGCGGCTCTTAAAGCAATTCTTCGATTCCTGCCACAAGCAGGTTCTTCACCAGAAGTGAAATTGCTGCTAAATGTTGAGCATCTTGTCTTGTCGTAATCATGGCTACCGGACTATCTGACTGGTACAAAAGAAGTGCAATATTCCAGTGGAACTGCGACGGTTTGCCGAATAAGAGTGGAGATTTTCTGAAATTCGTCACTCAGCACAGGTTTCCGATTTTGTGTATTTACGAAACAAGGGTATCTACTGACTTTCGCTTGTCCAATTATGTGGTGTACCAAGCAGAACGTCCTGCTGCAAAAAGCAGAGTGATGTTGTGTGTGAAACGCGATATTCCTCGACACTTGTGGCTACTTCAAAAACAGATGCGCCGGAATTCGTTAGATGAAAGGTGAAGTTTGGTAACGTTACTGTAACTGTAGTTAGTGTTTACGTGCACCCTCAAGCAAACGTTTCATACGCAGAGTTGGCTGCAGTGTGTAGATATGATCATGATCCCATAATTATATGTGGTGATTTTAATGCACACCATGATTGTGGGGTAGTGAACGTGGTAATGTAAGGGGATCTGCTATAGTAAAAATATGTGAAG